ACAGAAACATCTCACTGGCTCCAGGTTTCTTATTTATATGTAATCAAATGCATCTGTATTTTATTGTGTTGGGTTTGAGTCAAAAGAACATACTCGTATTTTCTGCACGTGTGCATATATGGTTGATCCTCATTGTTTACAGATTTAGTATTGCGAATTTGCCTCCTCATAATCACCAAATTAACATTCTTGGAACTTTCTGGTCATTTTCAGACACGTATCCTACCCTCCGAGTGCCTCAAGGGTTGAGTGGTACAGAGACTCCCAAGGGCCAGTCTTTTTAGAGGAAGCCTTCATTATGTAGGCAGATTGATGGGCCACTGACCACGGGGAACCACACTAACTTTCAGGCCCTTTCTCCTCTCTGGAGGTGGAGGCGTGAGTCCCTTTCCTGTAGTTAGCATGCCTTAGTCCCCATCTTGACTCAGTCCTCTTTTCAATCTAAGGGTTCTCTCATCGCTGTGAAGAGTCCAAGTGTTTCTGGAAAAGAGCGTCAAACCCCAAATCTATATCGTATATTCTCCCCATTACATTTTGTAATGTCCGTATGATTTGTTGGAGACTAGCCTGTGTCATACATATATCTACCATGCCAGTGGGGACTTGTTAACCCCCTTGCTCCACCTCTCCAGTCACACGTCTGCGAGTGTTTTGGGGGGGGGGTTAGATTTCCAAATGGGGTCTTATTTCCCAGAAGAAGGGAGGCTGGGTATCAGACAGTCAGGAGCAGCTGTTTACTGAAGTATCTGGGTAAGGCTTATTGGGTAGGCTTGAATTGAGTTAGTAAATGAGTAAATTGTGGTATTTCTGAGAAAGGAAAGGCCCCGAAGGATTTTTTTTTTGGAAGGGATTCCTTTCTGCTTGTTTTCCATCTACTTTGGCACTAGCTGACAGTTTCAGGGCAGGTTACTCCAGCTTTATGGGCTTCTGTCACCATGGCTGGAGGGAAGTGATGTCAAGAAAGCAGTGAGTGTGAAGGAAAGACTGCCCAGGGCCCTTCTTGCCCGCAGCTCGGTCTAGCCTACCAGGACACATAAAAGGCCTTCCTCCCGACTGAAGGGCCAATGTGTCATTCTTACATAAGACATAAAACATGTATCAGATTGCATCCTCGTACCACAGGAGTTTGGTTCTTCTCGTTAGTATTGTCTAAAGTTACAACATGTAAAAACTCTTTATCCTACTTTCTAAGCCTGCCAATGCGGGGGAAAAAATATATTAAGGAACATTTCCTTTTGGAGCCTGGAGCGTTTTTCCTCTCTAGCTCTTATTTAAAGAGAATATGTAATTTAGATGTTTGAATAAGAATAGGGGAAGTGGCCAAAACCTTTTCAATAGACTGGCTGAAATACGCGACTGTTTCCATCAGTGAGAACACAGACAGAGCAGAGTAACCTTGGCTTCCCCCAACACTCTCTGGTGGAGCTTGTTGCTCTCGGGATGAGTTACATCTCCTGGGTATCCTTTTTCCCTCCGCCCTCTCTCCAGGCTCTCTCCTGCTTCACAAAGGATGCAGAACTATATGTCAGAGTCATCTTTCTTTTAATTTAATGTTTCTCCACTCGGGAGCATTGAAAGCGACCTCACTCTCTATTCCTCAGTGGCTCCAGTCCTCTTGTCAGGCAAGCACCATGCTCGGCAGGACTGTTTGGGCCTTGTGCGCTGGGTTATTCCACAGCTGGCTGCCCCTGCGTCGAGCAGTCTCTGGACAGCGAGCTGGGCCTTGTGCGCTGGGTCATTCCAGCAGCTGTCTGCCCCTGCGTCGAGCAGTCTCTGGACAGCGAGCTGGGCCTTGTGCGCTGGGTCATTCCAGCAGCTGTCTGCCCCTGCGTCGAGCAGTCTCTGGACAGCGAGCTGGGCCTTGTGCGCTGGGTCATTCCAGCAGCTGTCTGCCCCTGCGTCGAGCAGTCTCTGGACAGCGAGCTGGGCCTTGTGCGCTGGGTCATTCCAGCAGCTGTCTGCCCCTGCGTCGAGCAGTCTCTGGACAGCGAGCTGGGCCTTGTGCGCTGGGTCATTCCAGCAGCTGTCTGCCCCTGCGTCGAGCAGTCTCTGGACAGCGAGCTGGGCCTTGTGCGCTGGGTCATTCCAGCAGCTGTCTGCCCCTGCGTCGAGCAGTCTCTGGACAGCGAGCTGGGCCTTGTGCGCTGGGTCATTCCAGCAGCTGTCTGCCCCTGCGTCGAGCAGTCTCTGGACAGCGAGCTGGGCCTTGTGCGCTGGGTCATTCCAGCAGCTGTCTGCCCCTGCGTCGAGCAGTCTCTGGACAGCGAGCTGGGCCTTGTGCGCTGGGTCATTCCAGCAGCTGTCTGCCCCTGCGTCGAGCAGTCTCTGGACAGCGAGCTGTGTGTGTTGCGGTGCTTTCACTTTCTGCAGCTCTGCAGCAGCCATCTTGGAACTAAGCTGCTTCTCCTTATAGACATCTTCACCTCTCAAGCTGCCCCACTGCCTTGGTTAATAGTGCCTGCCCCACCCGGTGAGATTCCCCAGCTTCCTCACAATCTGTTGAATGTCCCTCTGGGTTTAATACTCCACAGCAGACTTTGAGAGAGGTGTCGGGCCTGGCTGGTTGTATCCTTCCTCAGCTTTAGTGTTTACTGCTTCTTGTCTCTCCTGTGGGCCCTACTTACTGATGCTGAGGTAGTAGGACAGCTGCAGCCTCACCTCTTCTTGGACTGTGATCAAGTGTAGGGGACGTTACTGCAGGTAGAGGAAAGCAGGCTTAGATTTCTGTTTCATGGGGCTTAAAGTTTCTATGAAGTAAAAGCTCTCTGTATCTTTGTACGTACTTTTTTTATCAGAAAAAAGTTGCTACTGGTAAGAAACAAAATCAGTGTATATATAAGTGCAAATATTTATCATTAGTAACTCATAGCTTGGTTATGATGAATGTTAAAGGCATGATGAGAGTATCTGATGCTGTCAGAAAACCAAGACCAGACAAGCTAACAGGAATTCAGTCCGGCTGTGGCTCATTTCAGGTTCCTCCACCTTCGGGATAGAAGGGGATAAACCACTAGGGGGCGCTTTTTAACTAGAAAACGTGATGCCTTCTCGCTGCTGCTAGAGGCATTAGAGGCGTTGTGGCTCAGTGGGCAAGCAGTTGCCAGTGACAGTAGCTGGTGGCAGTTCCTGAAACTTAGGAAAGAAAGGGGGAAATGAAGGTAAAGGGGAGGAAAGAAGTATGAGGGCAAAGAAGAGAGAATAGCCAGCTGTTGTGACGGAGGTGATGAAATGTCGTAGCGCCCTCAGGAGTGTGGCCTCCCCACCCCTGGTTGCTTGCAGTTGGTTCTACTCTTAGTTTATCTATTCACTGATGCTTAAGTAATAAGAGTCAGGGTTTCTGACTGAGATGCCAGGTGGTCAGGATGCTGTTCCCAGCTTCTCAGACTTCACAGGTTAAGGGGTTTTAAAAAGCCGAGCTTCACATGTTGATATCCTTCCTTATAGATTATGTTAAATAATATAGGAAACAAAACTCCTTTGGTTTGTGTTGTTGATATTCTCCATTCCGTTCTCTTACCAGAAAAAGATATATAGTATTATGTATGGTATTAGAAAGCAATCTTGTTGACACGCGTGGAATATTGGCTCTTGGAGGGCAGGCGTCGTTCCAGACTCTGGAGCATATAGTCAGATTCCCAGCTCTTATCTCTTAAGGAGGTCACGCATGCGTGTGTGTCTGAAAAGCATTTTGTGTTTCTCCGTAATAGTGAGTTACTTTACAGTAATGTCCACCAGTAACTTGAATTACTTATATAACCGTCTTTATACGGCTGTGCATGCTCAATCCACTGTGGTTGAGTTAATAAGCGAATCTGAAGTTATAGCATACCCGGCTATAAGATGGTTTTCATAGGATGCATTTTGAAAAGCTTAGTTTTGAGACATGCCAGAAAAATGTGCCCTTAGCATCCCACATAACTGCTCATGTCTAGGCAGTTGCCTCGAAGTGCAAGATGTGGTTCACTTTTAGAGCTACCCGGAAGAATGGTGCAGGGCTCATCCTGCAAATGCGTCTCGTTTTCGTTTCAATATGGATTCTGTTGCTTCCTCATAGATCCAGTCTAGGTGTGGTTTCCTTGTTTCTGAAGTAATCGGGGCTGGTGACACTGACTAGGGCTGCTAAAGTCTTCAGTACAAAGACAAGAGACGCAAAAGATGGCGGAGAGGATTTCCTTGTAGCTGAACTTCACTATACCAGAAACCAGCGTCTGTGGATGAGGATATGTTCATCCTCACCCTCAGGAGGCTGAGGCGGGAAGACTGCTTCCTGCAGGTGCAAGACCAGCTTGGGCTACAGAGAGAAACCCTGTCTAAACCAAACCACACCATACCACACCAAACCACACCACAGCCCCCAAAACAACTTTTCATTGAATGCCAGCGTTTTTATATTCAAAATGCATGCTACTTTCTAAAGAACAAATTTTGGAATCTTTATAGAACAGAAATAGCTAGTGATGATTTTTCTAGTTTCTTTTGAACCCTAGGCTGGCCTTGAACTTACCGTACTGGTCCTCCTAGTTCTCCCTCCCAAGCGCTGTGATTACAGTTCTGTACCATCATGCCCAGTTTGTGTGGTCCTGGGCATTGGAACCAGGGCCTCAATCATGCTTAGCAAAAACCAAGTCCCAGCCCCTAACGTAGTTTATTAAGCTATAATTTACATATTGTATTGCTTCTGTGAAGTGTGTCTTTCCATGTCCAGGATAATCACAGCTTGTGCAATTATCACTACTTTTTATTCCCAGAGTTTTCATCACCATCAGAAGAAGCCCTGGACCCAACAGCAACTACTTTCCATTTCTATCTACCCACTTAGCCTTTGCAAACAAGTTTTTGTCTCTATAGATTTGTCTGTTCTGGAAATTTCACACACAAAAAATGGAGCCAGACATCATGTCTTCTGTGACTGGTTTCTTTCATTAAATATAATGTTGATTTAAAATTCGTCTGTACTGTAGCATGCTATCAATACTTTATTCCTTTTCATTACAAAATAATATGCCATTGCATGACCAGACTTCTTTTTCTTTATCTTCTCATCAGCTGATTGGCATTTGTTTTTTGGGGTATTCTGACTAATAAAGTTGTAAGCATCCATGTTCAAGTTTTTGCATGGACACATGTTTTCAGGCCCAGGAGTAGAGTTGCTGGATTCAACATTTGAGGATCTGCCAACCATTTTCCAGAGTGGCTTTATCATTTACAGCACTGCAGGACTAAATCAGTGTCCCTTTTCTGCACATCTTCATTAGCACTACTAGTGCCTAAACCAATTGCAGCCATCTCTCGTTAGTGGGCATGAGGTGGTCATCTCACTGTGATGTCTGTTTGCATTTCCTAGTCCCTGGTTACACTGGCAGTCACTTGTGTGATTACTGGCCTTTTGTATATCTTTTTTTTTTTGTGAATATGTTTTAAAATTTTATTTATAATTGGGTTATAAGTCCCTTATGAAACAATTGTCTTTCACCTATCTGTTTTTTTTCTTTTTATTGACAGAAGTGTTTTTACATTTATTTATTTATGTTGAGTGTGTGTGTCTCTGTGTGTGTGTGTGAGAGAGAGAGCGCTCATGCAAATGTGTGCATGTACCCACCCATACCATGTATACAATGGAGGTCATAGCGCCACTTTTCATAGTGAATTCTCTCCTTCTACTATATGGGTAGCAGGGCTTGATCTCAGGTGTCCAGTCTTGGCAGCAGCCCCTTCCTATTGAACCATCTCACTAGAACTATTTCTTTAATTTTCTAAAAAAGTTATTCTTTGACAGTTTTATCCATTTATAATGCAATTTGATCATGTTCACCCCAGTCTCCTCTTGTCTCACCCACTCTCACTGAACCTGTCTTCTTACATTCTTGATAGTATTATTTGAAGCAGAAATGTCTTATATTCATAAGGATATAGTATATGTTTGCTGACATAAGTTTTGTATTATTAGATTGTCACAGAGAGGTAACAGTTGCCTTTATTGAGACACTGTGCCCTTGTGTAGGATAAGGAGACACTGGGGCTGGAGGGATGACTCATTGGTTAATAGCACTAGCTGCTCTTCCAGAGGTCTTGAGTTCAAGTCCTAGGACCTACATGATGGCTCACAACCATTTGTAATGAGATCTGGTGCCCTCTGCTGGAGTGCAGGCATACATGCAGACAGAACACTGTATACATAATAAAAAAAATAAGTCTTAAAAAACAACTATAAGGAGACAAATGAATGGAAAGTACTAGGTGAAACATAGCGGCCTCTTGCACATAACACACCTTTATCCTAAACGCTAGGGATCAGGGCAGGAAAAAGAATGGCCGTTTTCTCCTTTTGTGGCACAGCAGGAGATACTGTTAGAGATGTCTCTAAAAAGTGAAACCATTATGAAGGGCACGCTGGTTCAAGCAGGAACGATGAGTCAGCATCCTCAGAGGTTTCCCACACGAGTGGTGGTGACCGTAGCGGCTGCTGGCATTCTTTTCCTTTAGGTACAGAAGAGTAACGGACTGTGACTTAGATTCATATTTCAATGGACTGGAGTAGGTGGAAAAAATGGTCTATGTCTTTGGCAGGGTATGAGTGGAGATGTCTCCCCATCGCTGATTGATAGCTGCATGGCCTTGGGGAGTGTGGGTTGCTGAGACGGCTGTGATCGCTTGTCTACCCACTGGCCGTTCTCTTCAGTACTTCAGGCGGTGATTTTTGTTCCCGCACCACACCTTCAGCCTGAAATCAAACACAGTGGCAAAATGAGTAAGGATCATGGGCAGCTAGTCAGAGGCACGGTGAGTGTGGCGTTCTCTCTTTTGCCTTAGCAGTTTGGACTTAGACGAAGTGGTTCCTCTCCTCAAGGTTTTCCCTTGAACTGCCCTTTAGATGGTCAGTGTGGACTATGGACTCTGACTTTTCAGTTGATATGCGAGAAGATACGGGTTCTGTGAAGTAGCCTGTTGAGTGCCGCAGTTCTTTACAATGCACATAGTTTCAACCCTTCAGTAGGTGTGGGGGTGCACCTGTAACCTCAGCTATTCTAGACGCTGAGGCAGGAGGATTGTGAATTCAAGATTGGCCTGGGCTACATAACAAGACCCTGCCTCAAAATAAGATAAAAGAGAGGGAGGGAAGAAGGGGGAGGGGAGAGAAGTAACAGAGGAAGAGAGGTGTCTCCTGACCTGCTTAAATCTTCAATTGCTTTCTCTCTGACTGGGTTCCAGACCCAGAATGTACCTTAGATGGAGCTGTAGTCTGTGCCTGGAGCACAATGAAGGGGGGGTTGGATAGGGTTCCACACTGGTGCTGACTTTTGGGAGGGGCTCATCCAGCCTTATTTAGAGTCTGGAATGGCATTAGCTGTCACTTTTGCTCCTCTGAGAAATGTTGAGAACGTTTCATAGGGCTGACATAATGGAGGGTGTAGGCTTCCTTTAGAACACAGCCCCCAAGAGACCGTCCCGGACAGAGCGTAAAGATGCTAAGACGATGCGAGGTCTGCTGCCACGTCGCAGGGCTGTCCCCTCCAGTTGTGTCGTCTGTTCTGTAGACGATGCTCTTCTTCAGGAGGAGACGTTTTATTTATTTACTTGCTTTTGGGTCACATGTCCTGTTGGCACCTGTGGTTCGGATCCTATTAAACAAAGTTTCACATGTGATCGTGTGCTTGCCCAGACTAAAGGTCAGCTGTGTGTCACTAAGGAAATGTCTGCTTTTTATCTAGTGTGTGATGAGGTGATGAGATGACCATTGCATTGATTACAGTCTAGGAAGATAACTGGTAAACAAGGGTCGGGGGTAGGAAGGGGTGTAGATACAGAAAACAGTTATCAAAGGATCAGTATTTGCTGTTGATCAACTCCTCCGACTGTGAAGCATGTAAGGCTTTTGGGCTGAGATTAGCTGAGAAACACTGACTTAATACTCAGTCAGTTACTGTGCACGCAGAGCTCAGTTAGCCACGATTCCTGTCCCTATGGACGTAGACTTGCCAAGAGACAATATAGTCCTTGAAAACCATGTTGAGCCCAAGGCTTTGCTTATGCTCTCTCTTTCCTGTCCAATCCCCTTTCCAGTGTGACTTGCACATGAGGGGGAGTGTGCAAGGAATGACAGCAAACCAATTTTAGGCACATATCTGTACCCAACATGTGTTACGTGTCACATTGTCCTGGGATATAAGCTTTAGAAAGGGAAGGCACCCATGTGTGTGTCTGTAGTGTAGCTCCTTGTACAAGGTACAGGGTAGCAGGCCCAAGACTGACAATGTAAGAGGAATACTAAATTTCTTAAAAAGAAATCCCAATAGCTGTGGCCCCAAACATTTTTTTTTAAAAAGAGGCGAAAATGAAATACATGCATAATTCAGAACATTGATGCCATTGGGAGGTCGCCCTGTGGGAAGACAGCCTTTGCTGCTGCGTCGTGTCTTCAGCTGGAGCCCCTGCAGCTCAGTAGACTGAGCAGAGTAAGCACCATTCCCTTCTGATATTCTGTTTACTGAGAGTGTGAGACCAGAGTCCGATGAGGTCAGTTGCTTGGTGACTGTGCTGTCACGTGACTGCTCCCAGCAATGTTTCCCCTTTGCAAGACCTAGTCTAGCCAGGACCCTGTCAAAAACTTCATGGACTATCACCCCATCACATCAGGGATTAGGGCTTCAAGAGATAAATTTTGAGAGAGATGTAAATATTTAGTCCACAGCAGATGACCAGACTGGAAATTCCCCCCAGCCCCTGCCCTCCTTCACGTTGCTGAGAACTGAACCCAGGGTCCTGGGCATGCCAGGCAAGTGTTCTGCTCCCAAGTGCCATCGCTAGCTTTTCAGACTGGAAAGATGCTAATTAAAAATGCCAGGCAGGGTCACAGGCGTGTATTCTAATAGCTGTGCTTCATAACCTACACTGAGGGTGTGTATGTGTTGAAATAGGAGCGGCAGCAGGGCTGCGTCCCCGGCACCCGGCCGCCCGCATGGCTAGCTTATGCCCCGAAATAATTACACGGAAACTGTATTCTTTCAAACACTGCCTGGCCCGGCTAGTTCCAGCTTCTTATTGGCTAGCTCTTACATATTGTTCTAACCCATTTCTAATATTCTGTGTAGCCCACGAGCTGGCTTACCAGNTGTTCTAACCCATTTCTAATATTCTGTGTAGCCCACGAGCTGGCTTACCAGGGAGGATCTTAACCTGCGTCTGTCTGGAGCGGGAGCATCATGGCGACTCTTACTCAGCTTCTTTTTCCCAGCATTCTCCTCTGTCTACTCCGCCTACCTAATTTTCTGTCCTATGAGGGCCGAGGCAGTTTCTTTATTATTAACCAATGAAATCAACAGATAAGATACAAGACCCACCTCCATCATTTATGTATATGTATTCTTTTGCTTTTATCAAATGTTCAGGTTTTTTTTTTTTTTAAAGTCATAATATTTTTGGTAGTTAAGCATTTTCCCAGCTGAGTTTTTCCAGGGCTTTTGCTTCCGTAGAGTTGCAGGAGAAAGCATTGCAGACAGCGACTTAGCCAAACTCATGTCCCAGCCTCCGACTCCCTACAGCCATTCACTTCTTATGGTAACTTTTCTGAAGCAAAGTTACAGTCTACCAGGGAGAGATTTTCAATGGGAACTTAAATGTGGGAAGTAGAGAGAGAGAGAGAGAGAGACAAAGGAAAGGAAAGTTGCGCCTCTCACTTTCATCTTGGCAACACGACAAGAGTGACGTAGAAACTGTCACCTGGCCTGTGTCCTGTGTCTCTGCCCCCCAGGTGTCCATGTACTCTCCTTGGACCCAGCTTCCAGGTCAGAAACTTTCTGTCTGGGCTCCCTGGCCAGACGTTTAAGTATTCATTACCTCAGTGAGTGCCTGTGGATCCGTGGGTAATGATGTTTGCCCTTTGCTAACTTGGGGCTTTTGAAATCTTTGCAGGGTTTCCCGACTGAAAGGCTGTGTTAGAATTAAGGGTCACCAGTGGGGGAGGGGCGGCCAACCAGAAAAGCACTGTTTCCCTTTCATCTGTGTCCCATATTGTACAAATGTTCCCTGAAAATGGCAACAGTTTTCTGGGAAAGGTCCCGACAGAGGCTGTTCTCACCCTTTACCCCTGCTCTCCGATTCATGTTTCCGTCTCCCAGTGTGGTCATGTGCTTGCCCAAGCCTGGCTCATGAACCGTGTAGGATATTCGTGGGGTTTTGTTTTCGAAGCCATACGCTGCGCACATGATGCGGTATTTCATTTGGAACGAGCTCCGAGTTCAGTCACACGTGCTTCTTGTGGTGTTTATCTTGGAGTCCGCAAGTAGGAGGGAAGTATTTTTGCATTTATACATCTGGACACTGTTCATGGTCTTTCTGTGACTTGGGAATTGTGTGTGGGGCAAAATCCAAGGCCCAGTATTAAAATAACATGGAGTTATAATGAGATCTGAGTGCGGCCCCTTGAGAGCACCCTTCTGATCCCGGCAGAGTTTGACTCCTGAGGTGGTGAACTTTTTCAGCTGTGTGGTTCACTGGTGGCCCGAGTAGAAGGTGGGACTGGAAGTTACCTGACACTCCATACAGTACCTGTGCTGCCAGACACGAAGTCTGCAAGTCTTTGGCAAATTCGGCTCTTTAAAGAAAAGATTTTGACTTGATTTTGTATGGAGCAAGATAGGCCAAGTGAATTCTGCTCAGCTGCTGCTTAGTCTGCCGTTCCACTGAGTCTTATGAGACCTTTTTGGGTCTCTCCAGTGCCTCTTCCATGCCTCAGTTCATGCATCTAGAACTACGATGATCTTGAGACCGTCTCAGGCTGTGTGAGGTTGAGGGTGATGGTGGTGTCTGCCGACCTTATCCTTTCATGATCTCAAATGAAAAAAGTTATTTAAAATGGGATAAATATGATGTAGTACAGTACTGCCTTCTTTTGGCTGGGGGTCTGTTAGAATGGAGGAGGGGCGTTTAGAATGTTGCTGCTTTCTGAGCGAGCCTGCGTGAGGACAGTGCTGCTGTTTTGGCTTCGGCCTAGTTTTCTTTAATTTCCATGCCTCATCTGTAATGCAACTGCAACAAGTTGGGAAAGCAGGATAAAGCTTCAACCGAATTTGCACTTGAATAACGAGCAGTTGTTGTTTCTGTGTTGTTCATGGTGCAGACATTTGGGTGAAGAGCTGTTTGGATTTTGATTTTCAATATCAAATCAAATCAATATCAATATTTGCCTCCCCTTTTACTGCAGCAGAGAGAAGAGAATCTAATAAAGTCACTGGACCCACTGGTTAGAATTCATACAGAGTTTTCAAGTGTGGTTACTAGTAGTCTCTCATACAACTATAGAAAATAAATAATTGGACAGAAAAGGTCAAAATTGTGTTAAAGTTTGAGAATCAGACAAGTCCATGGCGGTCTGAGTGACTGGGTAGATTGCTTATCTGGGAGCTGTTTCTTTTTGCTGCTTTTGGGGTCTTTCCTTTGGGATTTCCCCCCTCCTTTACTTTTGTAATGTATTTTGCAACTTTCAGTTAAAGAACTAGCCATCAGAATTTAAGCGTTAACAGATAAACACATTGCGGTTCTACGGTGGGAATCCGTAGGTCGAAGAGAATGGCCGGGTTTCATTGGAAGAGAGAGGTTCATGGTAGGAACTCCAGGAGTTGACACCAGGATCATGCTCGCTTGGGGTGTGAATGAGCCCCAGAGGAAATGGCGAAATCTGCCGATGACACCAGATTGTTTTCTTGATCCTAACAGAGGTTCTGGGAAGTTGCTTTGTAGTACTGGAGTTAGTGGATTGGGCAATGTGGGCAGACACGCTCAACTCGAAGTGGAGGTTATGTGAAGTAGCAGGAGCACACCAGGGATGTCTCAGAGCCTCTGTCCTCCCCGAGGAAGACAAGGACAAAGAATGTTTCCATAGGAAACAAAAGTCGTTATGGTGGCAGTTAGAAGCTACAGTGATGCAAAAATATGGCACCTGAGTATCTTTTTGGAGGCCAGTTGTAAGTTATTTCAACTCAAAACAACCATGGGATATTATATACTTATTTTATATATGCCTTTTAAATGGGCGGGTCCCTTAATATATCATTTTAATTATTTTCTGTGGTTTGTAGATTAGTTTTGATTTTCAAATAGTCAATTGTCATTTAGAATCTGAGTAAGCTAGAATAGACTTAAAATATAAATGAAATATAAAGTGATAAAGGGGATTATTTACTTCCTGGACTGGTTCTGAAGGAAATTACCATGAGTTATTGCAAGGGTATTTGTGTAATAGTAGTAGAATACGTTCTTAATTGATACAGTTCACAAGCGGCTCATTACCCACTTCACTATATTAAAGACTCAGTTCATGGGGTTGAATCAGCACGTTATGCTTGTCAAGAGCACGTTACCACTGAGCCCTGCCCCAGCTCCACACATCCTCCACAGTCTGCTTCTCTGTCTTCAATCATTATTCCTAGAGCAGGATGTTGTACAGTACCCAGAGAGTCCCTTAGTACGCTGTGTTTTCTGCCTATAGTCTCTGCCTAGAAATCACTTAAAATGAGAAAATCAGGAAAGTCTCTACCCGAAAGTAGAGAAAATCCTCTCATGAGCAGTATCTTTCTGAATAGCCCAAGGGACCCACCATTACCACCACCACAAAAAACTCCATGTTTCGAAATGCAAGGCCTCAGCCCGGTTGCATCAGAACCACTGGAGGCCACTTGTTCAAAACAAAGATTTCATATTGTAGGGCAGTAGCTAAATCGTTTAGCCTAGCTTGGACCAGGTCAGCGGTTGATGTCAGTACTGCAAATTGGAAAACAAACAGAAAGACAAAAATGACCTCTATTCTGGTTTTGACACACCGAATTAGAACCTCCATATTTTAGTATGTTTTCAGCATAAAACAATACTTTCTAAAAATAGACATATACTATACTCGCACCACAAACCAAAGAAACTGGAAAATAGAATGGTGCTAGAATATGTTGAAATAAATAATCATGTTGTAGAGTTTGTTCGCTGAAATTCTAGTGACCCACGTGTAATTAATAATGATTTTGAATCCTCTGATAGCAACAGAAATACTGGTATTGTGGTAAAAAAATTCACTGAGGCCATAATGTCTGGTCACTTCCTGGTTATGTCACATCAACAAAATACTTATTAACCCCTCAGCAGTTTATTTTCTTTTTCTGTAAGGCAGAGATTTTGGACTTGATCCCCAAACCTGCAAAGGCAAACAAACACAACACACAAAATCATTGTTCCTTCTGTTCCCCCAGCACACAACAAAGCTGTCTGGTTCCCACTGTGGTGCTTTACTCTGTGGTCAGTCCCGTTTGCTAGGCAGGTGAAAAGAAAATCCCAAGAATATCATACAAAAGTATCTGCTGGGGAAGATGGGCCTCTTGGCTTCTTTGAAACAAGACTTCAGGTGACCTTCCTGATGGAGTGTGCTTCCCCTTCTGCAGCACTCTGGTGGAGCGGATGCAGCAGAGCAGACACGGTAGATGGCGCTCTAGACTTATTTTTAAAAGAAACTAGTGTTGGGTATGGGTGTGGGGAGGGACTGAAGCCCATTTCAGCGAGCTCCCACCTCCAAGATTTCACCTCAGAGGCTTGTGCCTCTGAGAAGCATCTTGCTTTTGAGTAGAGCTAGAGAACAGCTTCAGCAAAGATAAATCTCTCGGTCGCTTTATTTGTGTGAGCTTTGTCACTCGGAAATTATCACTTGTGCTTTGAACTATAAAAATACAAAGGAGTTATTTTCTTTCAAAACATTTTTTTATTTATGAGGGCTACCCCCTAATTGTCTTTGTATTTTAATATTTCTATTCCTTCCTAGGTTTTTTTAGGACTTTTTTTGTTATTTAATAAAAATGTGATTATGAAGTTAATTTTAATAACTCCAATTATAATCAGTCGTATTTTTTAAAAGTTACATTAAATACCCATTCAAGCAGTATATATTACATTAAGGATAATTTAGTTTTATTATATGTATAGGTATTTTGCCTGCTTCTATGTCTGTGCATTGCGTGCATGCGTGGTGTCCGTGGCGGCCAGAAGAGGGCGCCAGATTCCCTGGAACTGGAGTTACAGCTAACTGAGCTACCCTGTGGATCTGGGAATCAAATCCTGGGTCCTCTAGAAGAGCTTTATGCAGTTGGTCTTGTTTAATCTTTGTAATAACTCTGAGAACTGTTATCCCCATTTCTAGATGAATTGTCTCGGAAATGCTCAGAGAACTGCTAAATTCTCATACTTAGCGCTTGCACTGTAGCTGCTGTAGGAGTTTTGTCTGCATTGACGTTACAGTTTTGAGCACATCTTACTATGGGACAGGCATGCTGTATGCTAGGCATACAACAGGGACCAAAA